GGACCAAATGTTCGAAGATCCGGCTCGTTTCATTAAAATCTGCTATCCGGCGATGAGGCTATCCGGGTACCCGGCTCGAAGGACCAAATGTTCAAAGATCCGGCTCGTTCCATTAAAATCTGCTATCCAGCGATGAGGCTATCAGGGTATCCAATTTCCAAATATTCGAAAGTTTAATGTCTGGCTCGAGCTGCCAAGTTCAATAGTTTAGTTTTTTTGTCTCTCGCCTTAGCGATGCTTAGGAAAGGACATACGTGGAAGGACTGTAAATATGTACAGCGTGTAACTTCGTTCAGGACATCGTTTGTTTTGTTTAATTAACAATTACATTATTGTAGTTCTATGTTCAATTCTTGTGGGAGAGACGGAATTATTCTATTACAATGATGTGGTTGCTTCTTGGTGATGGTGGCGATGTCGTTGATGATGTTATGGAGATTAACAATCGATTTTGTATATTCCCTGAAGGGGAATATGGTTTGTTGAGTTCAATGCTATCGTTGTAATTGTCAGCAAGAAGAGTCGACCATACTCATAAGGTGGCAGTGGTAGTTAGCAGTGATTAGCAGAGTGAATCTACAAAACTCATAAGGGGAGTATGGGATTGTCTGTGTGGTAATTAGAAAAGAGAGTCGGCCATACTCATAAGAAGAGTATGGGAATGTCCCTGTGGCATTTGTTCTCAATAAAGACAAATGATATACCGTCGAATGTAGAAGGGTTAGATACCATGCTTTGTGTGGTCGACTATTTTCTAGAACGGCAGTCAGTCCTTAACGGATTGTTAACCGTCCACATTGGAGAAGTGAACGAGTGTTCTTTGCAATGGCTGCACTGTGAACATGTGTGTTGCGTAACCTCCTTGTTATAGACTCCGTGTGATGGCGTGGCTCGGGCGTAGATGACTGGCTAGGACAAGTGACTGATTGTGAAGAATAACCGACACTGTGCACTGAATGACTAATGAAACTACGTACTGAATGACTGCTTTATGTTAACTATGTGGAGTCTTGACGCGCGCTTCCTTAAGTATCAGCGCGGCAGCTAGCACTAGCTTGAAACGAAGCTTTTGGCTATTCAAGAATTCTACGAACGTGAAGCCTTAAAAGATTCGAGAATTCAATCGACGTTGCTACGCGAAGGCTGAGCAGCCTTGTAGGACGTTCGAGAATTCTAGTTTTTGGCTAGTCGAGAATTTGGCGTGAGAAAATGTAAACTTTCCGAGAACCGAATGCCTCAAATAAATGTTCCAATTCCGAGCAACATGAAAAAAATTAATGAAAAATATTTTAATTTTAAAATATTTAAAAGGCAGAAAAAATATTTGAATTATAAGATTAATTAACCAATAAATTAATTAATTGTTAGGTATAAAGTAACTGAAGATTAAAAAATGGATTGATAAATAAACATTGAATGTAGTTTTATTATTTCATAAATTAATCTAAGTAAAAAGAATATATTTACTATTATTTATTAATATAAATATATTTATTATTGGGTATGCATTAAATTAATAGGAAACAAAATAATTATTGAATATGTTTTAAAAATTTTTTTTCGTAAATTTAATTTGATACTGTATCTGAAGAAAATGGTTTTAGTATCAAATGTTTATTCAGGCGAATCAATTTGTATGTATAATTTATGCAATATATTTTCATATAATATTCAAAGTGAGATACATATTTTATTTCTAATTAAATTGATTTAATATATAAAATTCAACTCTAATTAAAACATTATTAAGTGTATTAGAGCTAAAATAATTTATGTTAAATATTAAAACAGCTTTATAAAATAGATTATTATTTTTCCTTATTCGCTTCTTCTTAAATTCATTAAAATATGTTTCACATATCATAATATATTAATTATTTGCCTTTCTAATTTATTACAATTTCAATTAATACATTATCTATCAAAATCGATTTCAGAGATTTTCGGAATAACATTCGTGATAGTTTTAGAATCATTGATATCATCTATAAAAGGCTTAGTTATTTAATATAATTTTGTGTATTTTCCATAACTGTCATTCGAATTATAAGGATAATATTTATAATTTTTCAAAGAATTACATTCAATAATAGATACCACTTCCATTAGTAATCTTTTCGCTCATTATGTATACGATTTTATAAAATATCGTATGTACTTATATGCATATGTGTACTTCTTATTTATTTTTTTTATATACAATTTTTATCTTAGAATTTTTCGTTGTATAAGAATTTTAGTTCGCAGAATACCTTCAATATTATTAATATATATTTCAATATTTTTAAAAAAGTTTATGCAAAAATTATCTATTTTATCTAATCTTGAGATGCCTATCGCAATTAAATATCTTCATTTTTTATATTATCTGACTATTCGGTAGAATAATGTTAAAGCAAGCACAGAAAATGAACAAAATTTAATAGAGAATTTAAAAACAACATTTAATGTTCTCAGAAAAATGGATTGGTTTTTTTTTCATTCTTATAAAAAATGTATATATTTGAATACGATTTTTTCTATAATTTATTTTTTTCATAAAATTTAAATATTGATTAAAATGTTCAAAGAAACTTTTTTTAGATGCGCTATAATTAATAAAGCAAAATTATTGAAACCATTACAATTACAATTACTTTACAGTTATTATACAAGAGTAAACATTTTGTAAATTAGATTATAAGTGAAGTAACATTTAATATAATGAACAGCATTTGTTAACTTATGTTTCAAGCTAAATAAAAATTGTAATTGATAACTTATACACAAGAAATTTATATATCATTTAATTCGTGCGATATTGAAGATAAACGAATAATTCATAAATATTTTATAAAAAATAGCGTTAATATTTTTTAATGTCTTTTATGCGTTTATCTTATATTATATCTTAATAATCGAATAAAAAATAGTAAAGACTTTATGAAAAAACGGATCCAAGCATTAATTTAATTGTAAACATAATATTAATATATATAATATATAAAAATTATTTCTAAAATCAATATTATTTAGAAAATTAATATTAAATTAAAAATATCTGAAATTAATAAATTAAATGATTCAAATATATTTAAATATTCAATTGAACTAAAATAAAAACATTAACAAACGAAAAATATCTATACAAAAATCTAAATTAGAAAGCAAAAACATTATATGTACACCTCTCTTTCTCTCGAGACTAGAAAGTAATCATTAACAGCAAAGTTTTGAGCTAACATTCGCCATGATATTGGGATTAATAAATAACTAAGAGATCAAAGAATAAATACTATTTTCTTCTTTCGATTAATAATTTCAAGGACTTATTATAAAAAGGTAACTTGTAAAATAAATCGAAATAAGAAACAAATCATTGAAATTGCCTATCTACTGTTGCACGTTGAACTTTTTTATCTTATAATTTTTTACTTAAAATATATTTTAAATCGTCATTTTCTTTACATTTTTTAGACATTTTAAGCAATCTAATTGTAACTGTACGTTATTATTAAAAAAATAAGAAAAGTATGAAATGTATTTATTTTATTTGAATATAAATAGGAATCGCCAATAAACAAAATTTAGCAAATTATTAAAATACGGTACGTTTGTAATAAATGTTTTTCAAGATGTATTGGCATTATTTGATGATACAGGTATTTAAGTATTGATAAAGTGTTATACTTGATTGTATTGTTAAACTATAATTATTTAAAAATAATAATGTTAAGTAATCATTTAACTCAAAAGATTTACATTTATCGGTAGTATGTTATGCATGCTCATTACAGTAGTTGATAAATGAATCTAAATCAATAATATTTAAAATATTTGAAAAATATTTGAAATTTGAACATCGACCAATATAATTAATAATTTTTTTAATTAAAATAGTATTTGAACTCTATATAAAAACATCAGTTTATTATATTTCACATTTTACACTGAATCATTGTGGAATTATTCTAATGCAATTATTCTAACGGAATTATTTTAATACAATATAGAAAAAAAATGATTTTTTAAATTGATGTAAAAAATATAGATATATTAAAAATATCGAGAATACTTATTTAATATTAAACTTGTGATATTTACATATATATTTATTATTGATAAAAATTTAACATTTATTTAAATAGGTATATAAATTAAAGAAGAGTTTATTAAACCTATTGATATTTATAACAAAATGAAATACAAAATTTCGGAATTGAATCCTTTTGTATAATGTATAATTATGTACAATTTGCATTACATTAAATAACAAATATATTCACTAAAATGTAGTATCGTTTTTTGTTACTAAAAACAAATATTGGTAATCATTGTAATTAAAAAATTATCGATTTTAATCATATATTTGAATATAATATCGAAGAAATAAATTTTATAAAAAGTTTATCACTAAAATTAAGATGAACATATGAAATGACATAAATTATAACATAAGAATTTTTAAATTAATTTACACGAAGGTTATAAATAAATAATTTTTAACTTTATATAAACTTTCGTAAATAAAGTACGTGTAATAATTGCATATAATAATCAAATCATGTATTTATTTGTTTAAAAATTTTTATACTTATTTGTATGTATGTATTTGAAAGGTATGTTTTATTAAACTTTAATGGCAATCTTATTCTTAAAAACAAATTTTTTTCCTAAATTTGTATTACTTATTGTATATATTTTATTAAAATCAGAAGAATTTTATATATATAAATATAAAATTTCCTCAAAAATTCTTTTCAACGAGCTAAATTTATGTAAACCTTTTTTTGAGTTTATGCCCCATATATTTTATAGTACTGCTTTTAACTCTTTGCGTATAACTAATAATCTTGTGTTTCATATATTCTTATTTAATTTTCTTTTCAAATGTAAAAATGAAAAACTAATATGATGCCTCTACTTCAATTGCCGGTCAACTATCAACATATATTCAACTTTTGGTCCTATCCTCAATTCATCGCCTTCGCTGTGTGTGAATTTGTTTGAGCACATTGTAGGTGGCTACTTGGTACAGGGTACGTGTACATTTCACTACAAGCATGTTTTTCAAAGATGGGATATGGGCGCTTTTGTAGATGTTTAGAATAGTGTGTATGCCTATGCTTACAATCGATGATGAATTTCGATTCATGAATGGCTATTACTTGTTAATGGATTGAAAGTATCATCCATATGCAGAGCATGCGAATTCTACACACTTAATTTTTAATTAATGCACTGAAAATAAAGTAAAAAATCGTTGCTTACATTATTTTACTTTAAAAATTATTTTATGTCAGAAAATAGGAGTTCATGCTTGGTACAATTTCATCAAATTTTTAAATATTAAAAAATATAAAGAAAATATATATTTATGCATTAAAAATCTCAGGAAATAAAATTTTAAACTTTGCAAAGATTCATTTATTTTAGTTTAATATAGTATTTTAGTAATTATACTATTATGAATAATAAATGATCAATATATCGACATAAGTAATTTAATAATTGATAATAAATAATATATATTATTAATATAACAATTTTTCTTAAATTAAAAATATATTAATAAATTATAATTTATTAGTTTATTCTTTAATAACATATAGCTAAAAATATAATAAATATGTCTTTATAATTTTAGAATTATTATACATTATCTCTGTTTGAAAATGAAATCATAATTGCATTATACAAATTTTTATTTAATAAAAATCTCAATTAAAAACATAAATTAAATTTTCAACAATCATTAAGAAATATATTAATTTTAATAACATAATTTTATATACAAATTATAAATAACAACCATGGAAAATAATTCCATATTTTGTAGTTTTATTAAAATTTTATTAATTTAATTAGTAATTATATTATTTGGTATTATAAAAAATTAATAAGCATACAAATAAGATTTGTATAAAATCTTTTACATATCTTCCAAATATACTCAAATATATTCAAATTAATTGCAATTATTACAATATACATTTTTATAAATATTTTATAATTAATTTTTCAATTGTATATATATATATTACATACATATTTTACAAATATAATAAAATTGTAAATTTCTTTTATTTAATAAAGACCAATAATAGCCAATTAATAAGTTATTGTGTATAGTTATTGCTCATTTGTAAAGAGTTATATATACTCATTAGTAAAAATTTATATTTCACGCATTTGTTTCTTCTTGTTCTTTTATAGTATAAAATATTAATAATTAATATTTCAGTTTGCCTCGAATTAATTTGATCCTTTTATTTGCACTATTACTAAAGTACCGCGATTAATAAAAAATAGAATAAATATGTAAAGCCGGAAAAATTCTAAAAGCTTCAATTTATTCGCAGTAGTTTAGGATAATGATTTTCTCAGTTCAGCCACTTATGAAAATGTTAAAAATAATTTTTTAATTAATAAGAATAATAAGTATAAGAAATTTCGTACATTGACTTATTTTTATATTTGTATTTATATATAAATTTGTTTTGTTTATGTTCATTATTCAATAAAAAATACTTTTCAAATCATATTAAAAAATTAAGATCTTAATTTGATCATTATATAATAAATTATTTTATACAAATAATATAAAAATATATCATTTTTCAAATTATTAATTTTAAATGAATGAAACTACAAAAAGGTTGTTATTATTTCATTATAATTGAAATTTGTATTCTAGAGTGTTCACTCCAAAAGTTAACTTATTGGTAAATCAATATATACTTGCGTTAAGAATTTTCATGCTTAATAATATATACAAGTATATAATAATATAATATTTAATATAAAACAAATGAAGGAATATTATCCCTTGTTAGTGAATCGTATCTTCAAATTTTATAAATTTATATGGAAAAAAAGAAATGGACTCCGCTAGAGAATTTAATAAATGTTATTAACAATTCTGATCCTGTTGCATTTGAATGCATTATGTATACATTCACAAGTAAGAATGAAGAAAAAAATTATAAATCATTATATTTTTGATATCACAGTAAAAGAATTACATAAAAATATTCTATAACTTTCTTTCAAATACAAAATCAAGGCAACTTTTTTTATATTTTATTCACATAATAATTTGAATACTATATTTTTATAATTATTTTTTGTTATTCATATTCTGTAAATATATAGTATTTATACTAAAATTTGATAATGTGTATATGTTGGAAAAACAAGGACTATGAATAAAAATATTTGTCTTGATCCTTAATCAAGTTTATGAAATTCTTATTGGGAATTTTTTGATATTCAATACGTTGTGATTATTGTAAAACTGCCTATTATATTACTTTTATTTGCCTTTACATATTTCTTTTTTGTAGCAAAGTTTTACAATTCGTTCATAAAAATGAATAAAGTTTGATAATATTTTTGATGATGAAATTTTATGATTCATCTTTTTGTTTTAAGTAGAGTATGTATATGCAAAATATAATAATTTTGTATATATATATAATCGCCTTAAATTTTTATTAAAAGATAACGTTGAGTATAAATTTTAAGTGGCTGAACTACTAAATGTTTACTGATCAACAATCTCCAAAATTGAAGATTAAATTCACTATAATATTACTAAAATAAAGAGTGCCTCATAAATACAAGGAATGTAACATTTTTTTAATAAGAAATAATGAAATAACACTATAAATATTTATTTATACGAGAATCCCATTAATTTACAAAAGATTGTTAAAAAATGTTTCTCAAACTTATTGAAGAATAATACAAAAATAAGATTGTTGAAGTTTAAAGAAATAAGCTATGTCCAACAAATAGTAAATTTATGTATATATAAATAAAAATAAAAATCTATTGTAGGAGGTAATTAAAGCAATGAAATATTGAAAATATTTTATACTATAATAAAGTTTGTCGGAAGATAAAAAATAATAATAACTATTGGGTTATATGTGCTATATGTAAAATTAACTTTTTTTTGTAACGAGTAGATACTAGTTTCTATTCTCAAATATGAATTATAAAGTAATTAGAAATAATAAAATGTTCATTGTGTAAATATATGAAGTATTCATATAAATTCAACAATAGTTAAAAGATTTCTGTCGTAACTCTTGAACGTGTATTATATAGATATTTTAGATTAGAGACATTAGTAAAAATTTTATTTTCACTGTAAAGAAATTTACCATATATAGGTCAATAACATTAGAGGAAAAACAAGTGTTTCATGAATTTTGTGTCAATGATAATAGTGAGAATTTGTTTCATAGGACTCGTCGAATCAAGTACAAATAATTTTAAATTCGATAAGTACGACTTAAAAATTTACAGACAATATCAAATAAAATGAAGTTAATTATAACGGTGAATGCATTTCAAAACAAATGCGGTCATAGTGTAACGAAATTATTATTTATAAACTAAATAATATTATATATTAAGTAATAGATTAAATTAATTAAGTTTTAAATACTAGTTTTATAAGAATTAATAGTTAGAAAATTAATTTAACTAGTAAATTAACAAAATAACAAAATGAAATATTGTAATTAAAAATTGTATACTTAAATAATTTATTTTTATTAGGTAAATATATTTACAAAAAATATATGAGTTTTTTTAATAAAAAGACCGTTGGAAAATTTCACAAAAATTATAACCGTTGGACTTTATCCCGAAATGATAACCGTTGGAATTTTCTCCGAAATTATAGTTGTGTAGTTTTCCCAGAAATTATAACATTCGAGAGATTCTCGGAATCTCGAACAGTAGTTCATTCGACAAAGATCAATTTAATGAAAATGTGTACTGGTAATAGAAAATATGAATATACAATGGCCAGTCGCAGTCGATCTTTGTATAGTTTACACATAATACAGATATATATATATATTATTATTAATTATAATTTTAAAGAAATTACCTAATATAATACAAATTTTTTATCCGAATTTCTGTTTAATTAAAATTTAATGTATGGTGTTCAGGATTGGAGCACTGTCGAAGACCTTTGGCTCTCGAAAATTTAAAATCCTTCTAGCTCTTTAATTTTTGTAAACATTTGATTCCGAGTAGTCTTGAAACTCCAAAACCTTACTTTCGACTGTTCTATAGTATTTATCTGCTCTTCGCATAGCAACGTCGGATGGAATTCTTCAACCTGTTTAATACTTTGTTTTCCCGGAATTCTCGAAACTTCTAAAATTATATTCTCGAACGTCTGCAATTTGGTCTAAACTATCGCGTGGATATATAAAGCAAGCACGCGCTGAGCCTCTCTCTCTCTCTCTCTCTCTCTCTCTCTCTTAGGGAAGATGACATGGCACGGAATAGGGTCTGTCATACGAGGACAGACATGAAACAGTCGCTATCTCTCAGCAGAGCCGCCACGGAATGAACATACCTACAACTTCGTGTGTGTATTCAACAGGCTTGTTGTTATTCAGCCAGTGCGACTGGTCAGTTAGTCAGGCAGTGTTTATTGCCATAAGCAACTCACTGTAATTTAGTCAGTCAGTCAGTTTATCAGTCATTCACGCTATTCAGCCACACTCTTAGCAAAGCCGCTACGTAAGGTACATGCAGCAACTTTATACTAAATAGAGTTTCTAAACAGTGCCTCGAGCATGAAGCACTTACAAGCCTTTCTCAAGGATCCAGTGCCTCGTGCACTTTCTCAAGGAGGAGACCACAATTAAGTGACCACCACGTGGTACTACGCGAAGAAGTATCCAGAGATTTACAATCTCACCCTTTTCCATGTAAACATCCACCGCCAAGCGCACCACGTCAAGAGAATCCGGAGATTTACAACCTCCTACCTCTACATGTTGTGCACGCTAACACCACGAGGCAACAACCCAGAAACGCCAAGATCTCAACGATTCTCAATATCAACTTAGAATCATTATTGTGTAGTTGTAATTTAAACGCAATAAACAGCACGAAAAGAAGATGTATCAAATATTTAATTAAAGCGCTACCCCTCCCTCTTATCCACACTTTTTTCCCACCAGTAAACTGGACTTAGTCTAATTTTAAACATATAAATATA